CAGGGTTACCTGAGAAAGTATGCAGGTATAGTGGTTTATTCTTATTGAAAACAAATTCCACGAGTACCAGTAAAGGGAGAGAGTGCCAAGCTGTGTCATCGATAATTATCAATGTTTCTTCTTATTTCATTAAATATGCTAGATTATCCACCTTTGATTAAGTTGTTGGCCGAACAAGCCCTGTGCTTTGGTAGCAGGACAACACTGGCTTAAAACTGCACAGGATCGAAAGTGAAAGACGAACGTAGTTTTCCCTCTGTACATAGATGCTTAAAAAAATCCACTTGCGTCCTGAATGGCTAAAATGGGCTTAACTGACGTTTCGCAATGTCCGTTTCGTTGCGTGGAACCTTGTTGCACACTCCTTAACAACATCAACAACAATAAGCTTATAAATTTGTATCCAGTAAAGGAATACATTTATGCTGAGAAACAAAGATATCAAGTCAAATGATCATCACGCCACAACTCTAACATGCCTCTGATGTGCAATGTCGTTGCCATAAGTGGTGATAACTTAAGGTGTAGAGGTGATAACTTAAGTTCATCAAAGGGCATTTTATAATTTCCTTGCTCTAAAGAGAAATGACCTTTAAGAAGGATGTTCTCAGCAATAGGAAATAAGTCGGGAAATCTGTGAAACATTTCTCCAATTCAATTGAAAGCGTTTTCCCACATGCTCTGACTAAAAGTCAAGAGTAACTTGACAAAGATGCTAAAGGTTGGGTCGAGGAGAGGAGAAAAAAAGGAAAGTAATGTCCACTCCAGTTGGAGTGGTCTTAGCATATCTATGAAGAAATTAGCTGTCACCTAAACGTCATTTGCTATCTGATGGCCTACTTTTCACAAATTTTCAATGAGCTCATTTTACATACATGTTGGGTGTTCTACTAAAGTTACCCTTGAAAACGTTAGACATCATTTGCGGTAGCGTGTAGGGACACTATGTTTAGACTCAGGTCACTCCAAAGGTGGCACGCATTGAAGGGAACACCAAACTTTTTCAGCTCTTGGTCGCTAAAAATTTCTTTGGCTTTAGTCTTCCTCAGAATCTCGGGGCATTTAGGCATATTTCTATCCCTTATGTTATCAAGTATCGAATAATATTCAGCCAAAAGTTGAGAGTATTCCTTGACATCATTGTTTTCATGAAGGTCTTTAGGACCCTTATAAACTACTGCATGCTCCCAGTCTGCCCACAGAGTCATGTAAGGCGTTCCGACTTGAATTTCTGCCGCTGTTTTAAGCTTAGGAATTGCCACCTTAAAATGGAGGCGTCGATATCCTGATCCTCTCCATGGCCAGTAAATCTTCACTCTAGGGTCGGAGCTTTCTAGTGTCGGTCCACAAACGCCATAACATCTAATCTCGGTAACGGATTTGTTAAAAGCCCGCAGATAAAGATTTTTGAACTTAGAAATATCACTTAGTGTTGGGACAGTTACGCGACAGCCAACAATGTCTGTGATATCCCTATAGTCACTTGTCTTCTCCTGTTTCATCTTGTTCCACAGGGATTCCAAGCTCTTAATTCTCCCGGTGATAACTCCATTCATTCGATTCTTTTTCAAAATGTGATCCAAATCTGTCTCAAGTCTTTTCAACACTTCAGGTAAAGCTTTCAAAAATTGCAAGAAGTGGTCAATGAATGAAGCCAGTTTGCTGTCTCGAGTTAAGCGGTCCGATAGAGAACGTCTGTATCGAGAATTAATTTTATAGATTAAATCTGGTGTGTATTTCAAATCCGTCATGTTCCATTGGTATCCTTTTGGTTTGAATTCGGAGGAGATACCACCGTTGTCATCGTCACAGTCTTTACATTGTAGAATTTTTGCACACGAAATATGAAGGTGGAACAGAATCAGCATGAAATACACAGTGTTCATTTTCGGACTCCCTGTAAAAAAGATTCTAGTATAAACTGTCTTAAATCAAAGAACACCATTTTTTATTTACACCACGAACAGTATGACTTAATCCATAAATTACCTGTAACGTATGGATGATACATCTGACTGCTCAAGAGTAAGGAAAGATCACGATGGACGACACGTCCTGTGGTCAGGTCTCTGTAAGAAACTGCTTCCTGTGTGTTGCTTTCATAGCCAGTAACCGTGGCAAATTATTTTGTTTTTTCTTTTTTGCGCGCCAATGAAACCCAGCAGATTGGCTTCGTTTTATAAAATTCATTCCGTCCGTGGGGCGGATTTCAATATTACATCACAATGTCAGAAGAAGCGAATCGACGTTTCGACCTTTCCGCTACGTGGTGATTAAGAGACCTGTTGCTAACTGTGTATTGCAGCCTTTAGAATATACAGGTGCCATTCAGTTTGCTATCTAAGATTTTTCACTTTTTTTTATGCACAAGGTTCTATTTATGGATGCTATATTCTTTTCATTTCTTTTTTTTTCTGTCACTAAAGAACAGGAAATCTGTCGTGGAATTAATTTCCTTTGGGTTCTCCACCTCAGAATTTTGTTTTTAGTAAACACCGGTCGAAGTTAACACCTGTTGTTTAGATCGCTCAACTGTAGACGGAAAACTGCAATAAGCATTAAATTGTAATTACTACTAGCGCTAGTCTTTTCTTAATCTGTTATCCACGGGTAATTTCCAGAAATTTATTAATTTTTGAAAAGGAAATACTGTTCATAACGTTCGAGTTAAGCAAGAGTGGATCCTTCTCAACGATGTTTTTCCGATACTATACCGGTATATTATTCGCTAGTCTTCTTTGGTTAGGATATTAAAATGACTCTCATGTTGGACCCACTTCTAGGGGAATAAAATCCCATAACAAATACACAGCTAGCCCTTTTACTGCCAAGGTGCAATATGCGATAAAAACGTTTGGGACAATTGTCTTAAACAAGCACTGTTTCCCCTTCTCATTACTACGTCGGAAAAGTTTAATAAAGGTAGCTCCTTAGAGGTTATAGTTCCACCGGTTTTCCAGAAGCAGTGCTTAACGGGACATGTTTTTAAGATTTCGAAATTCTGGTGAGAAAGAGACAAAGTGTTGGCAGAAGGTTCAGCAAAAAAATAACAATAGTTTATTTCACATTTCCTTACTATGTTACACTAAGTACATTATTATGTTTAGCTAGAAAGATTTTCAGAGAGATTTACAAAAACTAAACATAGTTATCTAGGGTGAAAAATGCCAATATTCTAAGTAAACTGTAAAGTTTGCAATTTAGGCAGTAGTCCTTTCAAGTTGCAATTTAAATGTGAACATCTACATGCAGTAATTGGTTTAAATCCTTAGTAGTTATTAGACCGAGTGTATTGCCTGGTAATTTCTAAAATCACGTTATACAGAAAGAGTGAAGTTACGCGAAGGATGAAAAAAGAAAAAGTATAAGCAATTAGACTCTTCAACGAGAAAATTGCAACTTTCCTAATGTCCGCCTTATTTTTTGACAAGCTTCCCAATCACGCGTTCGTAGAATTGTACGTATTATGAAAGTGCAAGAGAATATAAACTGGTTATAATGCCTCGGTATATGCATTGTGATCTCAACAAGTACAGCATACACCGCCTAACCTTGTGCTTTTACGCCTAATTGCATCATGGAGGTAAAGATATATCACACATATTTGATAAAAGGAATTCAAAGAACAACGAGAAACATTACGAAGTATACCGTGATGAAAATAGTATACCCAAGAGGAAAGAATCCTCTAGCTATTATGTCTAAATGATTTTCCAAACTTTCCATATTTCCAAAGACCTTCGTGCGTAATTTCACCCGCAGACGATTGTCATGTGCTGTAACATCCTCGTGATTTTGAAATGCCGTTGGGCCTTCTGACGATACACTTTCGTCTTGACTACTCTCGAGGCTTTGAGCAGTTGTCGTGTCATTTTTCTGCAAGGATTAATGTTTAGAAAATGGTAATAGTGAAAATTAATAGGTAAGATAAAAAGCCGGTAATAAAAGTTCGATTCTAGCCTTCGGACATGGCTTGCTAAGAACTGTGCGGGTAAAATGAATTGAAATGTCAAGTAGATAAGAAGGGCTTATCTATAACGCTTTGCTTCCACTAAAAGTATTTTTATAATGAAAAGTTCGTACGGTGAAGAAGGATCAAGTTTTTCTGGCAGTTCGTTGGTACCCATTTTTTCTCCTGGGTGGACCTCTCGACCCAGAGTCTAGGTTTTTCACCCATGGTCTAACCCAAACCACGTTTTTACGCAGTCAATGGGCCTCTGGTTTTCTCCATAAGAGTGTTGATTAAATTAAATGTCTTTCCACTTTTATCTTACGACCCTCTTAACACTTTTCGCAAAAACAAATATTCACACAAAAGGTTCAGCTAAATTGAGGATTGTTTAAAACGCGTTTTTGTAAAAAGAAAACAAATAACAAAAACAAAAAAAACGGCTACACTTTGTTTAAACAATCGGCCCTGACGTTTTGGTTACCGCGTTTTCTTTCCTTAGGGCGAAAAACTAAAGGGAAAAGAAGAGGAATCTGACTTAAGTACAGCTAACTTGACCTCGTAGTACGAAAGACTTAAAATCATCACGACGATATGACTTTCGGTGGCCGAAGATTGCTCAAGATGTCAAACAAAACAAAGTTGGAATCAGCAAAATCACTGGAGCTTTCGGTGGGGATGCGTTATTTATATTAGGATGATGATGAGTAAAAGTTTATTGCTCCACTGGAGTGAGAAAAGTTTGATCTTGCCTTTTCTTCCTCAGAGGAAATTCCATTCTCTATCCGTCCTATGGATACAGCTTTCCTGTAGACGGCAGCAGTTTCAACGAGCGCTAAGAACGTAAACGAAAACGAAACAATCAAGAATAGGTCAGCGGCATTCACATAGCTGACGCGCGGCATAGCCTCATTAATGCTTCCGACCAGGAATATCTGGGTGAGAAGGGAGGTGATACCAATTGCACTTCGGTCTCCGATGTAGGCAGGGTCCATCCAAAATGCCATCCACGAGACAACCGTACAGAGAACACAAGGGAGATAGATACGTATGATGTAATACCCAATCCGTCTTGCTGCGGTGAACTTTATTGTTACCACATCAAAACAACCTATAAGACAATCGATCATCGCTTTTGAGAAAGGAGGGTTTTCTACGTCTTCGATAATTGTGGAATTATCAAACTTGATAGTAGGGCCATGTTGTAATGCTGGGAGATTTAAAGGCCACTTTGTAAATGAAAACCATCAATCTTCCTGTTTTTGTTGTTTTTGTTTTTAATCTGAATTTGTATTAGGGCTCGCCATAAACGAATTGAATCACTCAGCATTCTCGTTACATTATTATGTAATAACAAATAGTATAGACAACCTTGAGACGCCCTTGGAACGTAAGCTTACTAAGGTACGTTTTCATGTAATTTCATGACTGCATTCAGAATTATTGCGCTGAGCACCATGCTTCTAGAAATCCAAATATCGAGGATCAATTCAGATTATATGATAAGAAATCAAAGTAATTCTTTCACGAAGGTATTATTAAAGAAATAGTGAAATCAAACTCAAACGCACAAATCGTTCATACCCATAAATAGCTCTTTGGCGTTCATCTCTACACTTTGTTTCGTAATCATGAATTCAGACATCTCTTTGTTAAAGAGTTTGACGTTGCTTCCTGCATAGCGCAGCTGTTTGATATCCCTTCCATCTAATAACAACATTAAAATAGCAGTTGAAACTATTATGTTCCCGAGAACGCGTTCATAATACGACATCCTATGAAAAAACGTGCCTAGAAGCAACTTGAAGCAAAATACCTTTACAGTATAAAAATGAATGTCTCACGTACATTTTGGGATTTGTCGATAAACAGATAACATACATCTTCCCAAAAAACCGTCCTTGATAAAATGTCTTCCGAGAGAATTGAGTTTGGATGCATTTTGTGACAAAATACCTTTCTGGTTTAAAAAGGACGGTCTCAGCTGACAACAGGGCACCTCTCATCATTTATCACCAGGGAGGGGAGGAGGGGGATCTTATGGTTTCAGGAAGAAGGGAGGGGGGATCCGTCGTCGCCAATATTCGAATAAAACAAAAGCAATTCATTTATGGATCATTTTAGAAAAGTGAATGCCAATAAACTGCCAATGAAGGGGGGAGGGGGGGTGTTAACAAGAAAATCGCAGAAATCAGTTTATCACGACAACCAATTTCTTCCGACCGGTTACTTAGCGGATGGATTATGAAGTGCCAGGAAGAATAAACGATTAAAAAAAAGGGAAAAATGTCTTGAAAGTTTTTCCAAAAATCTCATTTTTTTTTATCAAAAATAGATTGTAAAATCACGAAAACTGCTCAGTTATACGGAGTTGCATAGAAGCTTCCACTTTGTAGGCTTTAAGGCCATCATAACTGATTCAAGTGAGATCTATATCATCGAGTAGGGATGGCTTTACTGAAAAAATACGTTGTACTTACAGCTTAGCATATCCATTCTGAAAACTTGCGTGTCCATGGGATAGGCACGAAAATTCATCAGAGTTGTGGCAGTCATTGTTACCCTAGTATGCGATTCTGTGGTTAATATTTACTTGTCTACTTATGTGTCAATCAATTTGTTTTTGTTTTATATTATGATGCGTGTCTCTCCCCCCCACAGCAGAAAGAGAAACTGGTAAATTTCAAAATGAAACAAAAGCAATTCTTTTATTCTTTTTTCTTCTCTGAGTGATTTCCACCAAAGGAGAAATGAAATGGAGGGTACAACTTGCCAAATGAAATGGAATTTGAGTCGTTTCATTTAATTCAGAAAAAAAGAAGGCACCACAGATCCTTTAGAAAATTATTACTCCCTATATTCAGTTACACCCATAGCCTACCTCTGACTGAAAACTATCAAGCCATCTCCATAAAGTACCATGGTGCGTGTTTCTTGGTGCACAGATGTTTTCACAGCGTTTTCGAAGTAAGTATCTGGTAGCCAAAGGTCGTTTAATGCTTCATGTTGTAAAGTAAGAGCGATGTCTCTACTACCAAACACTAACCTGGTATCTTTCCATATTTGCCTCATGTACGCATCAAGCGTAAATTCCTGAAAAATAATGACAGAAGGAGCATGAAAGCAATTTTTGTATCATTACGCACTAACTAAGGGATCTGCCATTGTCGGAAGTATTTGCCAAAGAGTTATGTAAAAGCCATGCTAATTTTTTTGAAGTTTTCGCGAAATGCATTTTGGGGCGTAATACGTCACAAAGTTCCATTTTTATCGTCAGATAACATTAGTCAGTACTTTTGTTCACAGATTTCCCACTGAATAGAAGAGATAACAGTGTGCAATCATAAGATGTCAAAAAAATTTTGTTTAGCAACAACTGATGTACCAATCTTAAACAGCCTACGCCAATTTTTCGAAAAGTGTAACAACCGACCTAAGCATCAATGTTGAAACAAAGAAACTTTACTTTTGTAAGCTTCATTCCTCATGGAAATATCGTTGAAAATTAGAGTTCTCCATTAGGGGTGTGAGTGAAAAATGTCGTCTTCGCTCGATTTAAACCTAGCCGTGACTTAAACTCTTTTTATTTATACCCAGCCTAGAAACAGTCTGATTAATCAGTTGCCAATGTTTGTTTCGTCTTCCTTCCAGCTATTTGTTTTCCCGATTTATTTTCTTTCACCCAAGGGATACTTATTGGATCTACGTGTTCTTGGTTGTTGTTGTTATTTTCTTTTTTGATAAAGTATTTTTTGTATTTTCTTTTTTGATAAAGTAACCGAGACAGTAGAAAATAAAACGTTGTGTAAATGTGGCTTCAAAACAATCTTGAGTTTACTGGTGTTTTCGCCAGCCACAGGGTACCGGCCTTAAGTTCTTAATTAATTAAGTTTCAATTTCGGATGCTTATTTTGAAAATAATGGTTACCCAGTGGATTTAATACTGTATTATAGAAAGGAGGGAGTTTGATTCTCACCATGTCCTCAGTACGAATGTTCCCTATGGACAAAATTCCCAGAGACACTGTTATAAGAAGAGCCTTTCCTGGGAGGAAAAAATAAAGATGAAAAACGACAACAAGATTAACCATGTCCCAGTTTTGTCCGAAAACTAAAAATTGGCAACTGCTTCATGTCATGGGTATACCACTGGACTATGCCCCAGTTTGAAACGTCCAAAGTTTATCTGACGAGAATTTTTGAAAAATTGCAGTACGTGGTAAACCACATTCTAGATTGCAAGGAGGGAGAATTTTATGACTTCAATGAGGAGGGCAATTTTTGTGACAAAAATTCATGGAAACTTATCAAATGGTCACAAAGTCATGAGTTTCAAATGACCCTTACCTGCATAGTCAGGTCTCAACCTTTTGTCGTAGTTTCTGAAAAGTTTTTGTAGGATTTCGGTGGAATTATGAGCTCCATTCACTGGTGGCATGGTCCCATTAGTTACTATGGCAATGATGTCCTGGTCGGCCTCGCTTAAATTAAATAAATCAAAATCAAAAAAAATCTCATCGTTAGCTGTTTGAGTAATGCAAAGATAATTTCGCCGTAATGGTCTAGTGCCGACTGTAAAGACAAATTAGGCCTGAAATTGATATGTTTAGTCATTCGAGTTGAAGGTAAATTTCCACAGCAAAAACACAACTCTATATATCGATAACATGATCGTTATCGATAAGTTTGAACGGATAGGTAATTTCTCGAATTCCAACCGGCAGTATCACTTAAATATTGCTGAACATTTTTTGGAAATTCTCCCAAATTATGTCAAGTGCTCTTGCTACTTGTTTTATACTGACCTTTCGTGTTCATTCCTCTGCAAATTGCAAGCTAGCGTAAAAATTAAACTCGTCTCTAAGTAGAAAATAAGGTAAAAAGTCCGAAGGGACATCGCAAAGCAGACCTTCCGACGGGTTTCTTCAATCTGCAAAAAAGTCAAAACATTTGCAAAATTCATAAGCTCTATTTGGCGTATCTCACGAAATAACAGTATGAAACCGAAGCACTCCTCCTTTGGTGGACAAGAATAGAGAATAATTAAGTGGTACCTAAAAATAGATAAGTAAAATGAAAAATTTTCTTTCTGAAAATATTGTTAAAGCTCACGAAAAAAAAGGCTGGATTCAGATGTTGACCGGGGAGTGTATCACTTGCAAACAACTCACAATGCATGAATCTACCAACCTAACAGTGGTATTTAAGACTTCGCCGTGATAACGATCACGGAAAGTTGGTTTATTTATGTTTAATTTTGATGATTGGACTTTGGCTGTTTCATTATTAATAAAAATTAAAACAAAATTCCCGAACGTGATTGGTTATCAATAACCTGATAACAGTCCTTATAGGACGGCGTACGTGATAGGCGTAATGTCTGAGTAACTTTGCAATACGTGTCATGTGAAACCTTAGTTAGTGTTAGGTTTTTTTATGACATGTTTCCCCAATGTTCAGAGTCTCAATTGACTTGTAACAGAACTGTAAACAAGTACCAGGGCGAGAAACTCTTCAGCCTGATTGTTACACAGTCATTCGATGAATAATCAAAGGCTCAGCCTGTACAAAACTCGTCTTTCATGGCGCTGAGGAATTCTGAAAATGTTTTTTTGAAATAAATTTTAGAATATATGCTATTGTGAACGTTTTCCCATCCCCTATAGAAACTGAGGATGAACGAGTATGTTGGCCGAGTGGCGGCTTATTCTGTGTACATCTTGACGACGAGATTCGAAATAAGATCTCGATTTTTCCGCGAAAAAAGATTCTTATCCCTATTTAGTCCTCCCAAATATTCCATTTAACATCTGGTCAATTAAATGTCGCTTTACCACTTGGATCTAAAAACCTCAATGATTAGGGAAATGAACAAAATTTAGGTAGATTGCAAAAAAAAAAAAAAGAAAAACAGGAATCTTTTCCAAATCTCTGCAAAATCAGAACCGTAATTTAGGTTCGTGATGAAGATAGGTAATTAAATGAAAACCTTTTGTTCAAGAAGCTCATTCTAGACTTCTGTAAGGCTGCATGTGAGGAAACTTCCTATTGTTAACCAAAGATTAAAACTTTAATGACGCCTTACATCACCGCATGACGCTGGAACCGTGTGATTCTAACTAAAAAAAACTTGGTGTTGGTGTCAGTTCTGCTCCTTTCCCATTTGTCCGCGCAGCCAACTGGCAGAGTTTCGTTGATTTCTATCCAAGAACGCCCTTTTGCACGATATAACGGTCATTCATCATCTCTAAAAAATTAAGTAGACTATGACCTTAAAAATGGATGAGAAAATTATTGTCGGACACGGCCTTGAAAGATGATTAAGAAGTATCTCTATGGCACGGGTATAAATGCAACCCTGCGTAAGGGTTTAAGATTTACTTTTAATCGAGTTTACGTCAACGTAAGTGTACCTGTATTGTTATTTTTTGGTAAATTACATTTTTCGCACAAAGGGCCGACATATCCGGGACGGTGTAAATACTTATTACAGAGATAAATTAAAGATAAATATAATTTAAAGAAAAGAAAATGACTTAACGAGTGTAAGTTTGTGGTCAAAATTCTGCTCTCTTCCCGGGGAGAATCTCCATAATAGATCACGTTATCTGGAATTCCCTCTGCTAAATTATAATGTTAGAAATAATTTCCTAACACTCGATGTTTTGTTGTCCCTTTTCTTTATTCACTCTTACAACTCAAGTTATTACAACGGGGACTAGCTCTGATCTCTCGAGGAAAGTGTGGGTCACTGCTTATAAAGGAGACTTACTGAGCTGTCAGTCTCTAACCTTCGTCATGTTTTTACACTTAAATAGCGAATCACGTTGGGCTACGCAGAACGGAGTTCGCATACTGAGTAGATAGCTTCGCGATGTTTATGCTTCACGATACGTTTTTCTGACTTAAATTTCTTGGTCTTACGGTCAAGTTCGGACAGAACAAAAACAAGATTGACCAAATAAAAATTATAATAAACTTAGTAACTGAATTAAAATTATACTTGAAAAGATATCTTAAAAGAAAATAGTCCTTGAGGGCTGTTGCATAACAGCAGAATGAACACAAAATTCGGAGAAGAAAGGGCGTACCCAAGGTACCGCCCCTAAAAGAGCTACATGCTAGTCGTAGAAGGTATCTAGTTACAAATTCAGTGCGGAAGAGGAAAAGTACTACATGGTTACACTTAAGTCACCTCTAAGTAAAAGAGGTGTTGAGCGTGCTAAATTATACCTGTAAGATAAGACCGCCGAAAGGAATAAGAAATGATCAACTGGCTTATTATAATTTTTACTGAGTGTCTTGTGCTAATATATTTTTCCCATTTATTTTCACGTTCCAATAAGTCAAAAATCACCTATAATGAAAATTTTTGCTGGATGCCAATTTTGTCTTTTAACAATTAACAGTCAAATCTCCCTTCGGTCAATATTTCCATATTGTTTATAAAAGACACTTAACATCTGTTGTTTGGAAGCCTCAGGACATCATTGAGATCCAATAGGAGTTTTTTTTTTCAATTTTTCTGTCAATAATCAGGAAGGATTGACGAATGTCAAAACTATTCGTCAAACTGTCTCTGTGTTCGCTTTTATGAGAGCCAGTTCTTCTCAGAAGTTTCTCAAATATAGCCATTACGAACAATTACGAAGCTACAAATAACTATACGCACGAAGGACATGGTTTTCCCTCTCTCTTTGCTCGCAAGTTTTTCAATTCTGGCTTGGTGGAGTGTGTTTAGTTCGTGTTATGCCAGAGGTGATCATGATCAGGATGTCAATCAAACACGGTAAAATACATGCTAGAGAATATAGAGACGTAATGACAATCTAAACCCACAATTACATTTATTTAACTATTTTCCATGAGACGGAGATCATATTTCACCAATTTTTTTTTTAAATACATTTTTTTGTTTTCATTATTTTTATGAATAAATAAGCAAACTAAACAAATCTGATGTAAATTCAAACAAAGCAAATATTGACAAAAAGAAACCTTTATCTATTTATCTCTAAATTAATAGATCGAAAATCTGTGGTTTCTATTTTCTTATATATCAGATTGGCGGATTATCGTATGGCCCTGGTCACACATTTCTAAAGAATCTATAACGAAAAGCTAGCGTGCGTGGAGCCGGACGGGCTGACTAGGCCGGTCCACAATAAAACTGTGGGGTTCCACACTTGCAATTTCTAAAAACTAAAAATCCAATCATTAGCTTTAACTTAAAGACAATAAGCGAAATAAAACATTTTGAAAGTCCCTTTGACATCAAATTCAGTTCTGTTATAAATTAAAGATGCTATAGTGGAATTTTTTTTCAGTTGTCTAACGAGCGCCTTTGTTATTAATCCAATGACTTCCCAATTAGCTAGCTTCAAACCTAATTTCAAACCCTTTTAAGGCCTAGTGGTCACATGATAGAGTACTAATTGACTAAGCCCAACGGCCCAACTTTTTCGGCCCAAAGGCTAAATATTTGGCTCCCGGTCCCAACCTCGAGCCAAATGTTCTTACTTATTTTTTTCGTTCACCAACACATGAAGGGATTTTTGAAATGTTTCTTTTTTACAAATGAGATTCAGGGGAATTCACGAGTTAGATGGTGAATTTTCCTTAAATCGAAAATAAGTAAAGAAGAAGCATTTTCTTACAGCTAAGGTTTTTTTCAAAACGTGCCATTTAAATCAACTCTCCGATTTGGGAGGGTGCGAATGATTTGCTGTTTAATATCAAATGTCGACTTTGCGTTCTTCTTAGCGTCCTATGATATTTTCTCTTCTTCTGGTTGGCTGTTTTGGTGGCAATTATTACTGATTTTCAATCAAATGTACTGCGTTCCATACGTTTTAGGGAATTCCGTATAAAAATTTCTATTGGCCTTCGTTTCCCGACCAAAATGATGTAATCACTGTGTGAGACAATTTGAATTCTACCGCAATGGAAACAAGCACGCTTCTTCCTGTGCTAAATAAACAAAAAATATTTACGATATAGCAACTTCCTGTGTCGCATAACAGCTAAACTAAAGCTACACTTTTTGATCACAACAAAAGAAGAAGTTTGGTTTCGAACTTTTTCACTGTCCCTTTATAACAGATATTATGCAAACCAATATTTGTCAAGCACACAAACAAAACAACGTCGTAAGAGAATCAAAATTGTCTCTGATATTGGTTAATCTAAAACAACAAATTCTAACCCCCCCCAGAAAAAAACGTCGATGGTTGCAAAATAAGACAAAAGAAAATAAAGCTCAGCCATATTGGCCTGAAGTCAGCTCACAGAAGCGAAGGATCCGGAAATGATAGACAATAATTCAAATGGAGACTTCAACGTGATTGGGTTATAGATGCTTCTCGCTGTAGGATTTTTTTTTCAGGTAATACAAAGTAATGAGAATTCTAAGATTGAAAATCAAAAATCTCATGGTAGCATATGACAGGAAATCAATGTAAATTGTGATCTTGCTCTATTGATGGCATTTTTATGATTCAAAAAGGCCGTGCGGAATTTCATTATCTTTGACTTCTTGAGGCTTAGTGGCATTTCAATGAAAACTGAAAGCAGCCACGAAAAGGAAACTTTTCAAACATCGAAGAAAGTATGATTATTTTTTTACGCGAGTTTCCTTTTATGACAAAATTGTAATTTGCTGGAGGTTTCTAATGGAGTGGGGCTTTCACGGCTAACGGTTAAAAGTTTGGCCATTCGACGGCTAACGGTTAATTTCATTCCTTTGTTGTCAACATAAATATTAAAATATGTATTTTTATGGTTACCTGTTTTCATGACTACCGGTTAAAATTCGCCAATTTTCACACCCACGGGCTAAATTTATTTTTCTTTAAGCCTTTTTACGGCTAACGGTTAACCATAATGTAAGCCAGCGAAAATTCTCTGCAAGATATTTAACAAAAAGAACCGAACTGAGAAAACGCTGCATCGTAGACAAAGTAGAGCAGCTGTTTACTAGATGTTAAGGACTTGTTATCAGAGAAGTACGTTGCTCGCCAATGGATTACTAAAAACTAATTCAATTTTTCCAATCGAAACTCTGACCCAGTGGAATGGTAGGTCCTATGAAGTCATACTTCTAGCAGTGATAATAGACCTCTTTAGTTTGTATGGTTTAAAGGGATTCCCACCCTTGTCTTTCATAAATAATGCGTACATGTCCACGTAAATAAGATAAAATTTGAGAGAAACAATCCTCTGGAGTATAATCATATTACATTTGGAAAACAAAACATGTAGGGTGAAGAGATCGATCTCTATTTGTCCGTTGAATAAACATGCTGAAAATGAATCAGAACCGTTCGAGAATTGTTGAAAATTAACATGGATTTCAATAGCCCTTTTATGGTTTCCAAATATTTGCTTGCGTTGTCATCAAGTCTCCTTCTGTATCTAATATGTAGATGAATACACTGCATGTCCCTTGTGCGTGATGAACATGAATTACGCGGAAACCTTCCATGATTCTACGTGGCAAAAGAAACATCAGCCAAACGTATTCATGTGCATCTCGACGTCTCTCATTGTGTCAAAGCTTTCAATGATTTGGTTAGAATAGCAGGCCGAAAAACTAATTGAAATGTAGATACGTAGATTAATGAAGATCCGATTTTGATGTAAAATGCTGCTAATGCGTTATTCAAGGGACCTTTCTTTTCTTGTGATAAAATTCAAATGATCGGCAAAACAATGATTAGATTAAAAAGAAAAAAAATCTTAGTTTTTAAATATCCTGGTTAAAAATTGCAACTTGCACTGGTTCCGCACGGAATGGTTCGGATTTGTGATTATATCGGGAGAATATTTGGGTACCATTAAAAAAAATATGCCCAATTCTAGCCCGCCTTCCAACAATACTCCTAACATATATTTGTCCGCTCTGTTATAAAATGTCAAAATATGCATTACATTTTTAAAGCCTTCAATGGTCTAACCTTCATCCAGATCAAGTGGTAGTAGACTTCATAGCCTCATATTGTGGAAAACTATATTAGCTCATTCAATGTGAAATAATTTACACCTGAGAAACTCTAAATTTGCCAAGAGAGCTAGTGTAATACCTCTACAACTCAGCCCAATTAGAACTTTGCTCGAGTCAACTCGTTTCCTCACTGCAGTTTGTTTCCTTTTGTTTTCGAAATTATTATAACACTGAAAGATACGAGGGAAAACTAGTAAAATTCGAGGCGGACTTGCTTTACCTGTTGCGGAAGAACATAACGTGAGGGTTGGAAGCGAAGTTGCAATGTTGACAAATCGTTATTTATAAAATAATAATTAGCCAAAAATATGTAAAATGTTATTTTGAATCGAGGCACTCTGGCAATACTGGTTTTATTTTTACACTCTCAAGTGTTAATATTTATAAATAAATCTAGGTGTATCTAGGTGTTCGTTCAGGATTAAAAAAGAAGTTAAAAGCGCTATTTCAAATTGGAAACCCGAATACCGCTCGTTTGTTTATGCAAGCTTTGACATTTTAGCCTCATCAGTCTACTGAAGATTTTACTGAAATGCGTTTGTTGTTCAGCCCACTGGGAAAAGGAAGCAATTATGAAACCTTACTTTTTAAGATATTACCAATATTAGCTCACCTAGTTTCCTGGCTTGCCTCAAGCAGAAGATGGCGTTTATTCAGTTGCTTCATTAGGGCAGCTAATGTCATTCTTTCTCTTTTTATCTCATGAAAAAATTACGGCTTGACAAAATCAATTGTCTAATTACCTCATTAGTGGGGCATTTTCTACAAGGTCATCAAATTACTTCAGGCTGTTCTGAGGACATTATTATTAACCTGGTGTTATAACTTACATCCTTGCTTTTTCAATTTTTGTGGTCATCTTCTTTCTTGATTATACAACTTTATAATAATACTTCATTATTTTTCTTGCAAAAAAAAAAAAAAACCTAGAAGCTTTGCTGTAGGCAAGATGTCGTTTTTATCAGGTGCTCCTATTCAAATACATTGATAAAAAACAGCAAAATTAATCTTCGTTTTAAAAAATGCATATTTCGTGTATGAAGCCTTAGCGTTCTCGAAATGACTCATTTTGGTAAAATAAAACCACTCTAAAGCACTTTGATGTAAATTTGACATTAACACTTTCATTAAAAGTTGGCATTGATAACCATAACATCCACAAAGAAAATGCCGTTGAGAAGGCAAAATGCACAACATGAATTTTCATGACAAGTCAAAAAACCTCAAAGTAGCTAGCAGATAATACTGATGCATTATTTAAAACCTACAGCCGCTTTTTTTGTTTAACCTTATCGATCCAGACATAACTGTTTCATCTACTCGCCGAAGGCTGTTTCATTCTTTTTGGTGGGCGATGTTTAAATTTTATCGCAAAGCGTTTGGTGTTCACCTGTGTAGTTTTATGGTATTTGCGAATATCTGTGCCATCAAATCATCGAAAACAGATGATTCCAAAAGGTAAGATTGACGGACATTGTTACTTTTTTTAAGATGATATAAACGATAAACAAGTGTTACATTAATAAGAGGTAGGTAGAGATTCGTTCCCCTTTTAGCAGAAATATTAAGATAAGGGATATATTTTTTGTCTTTACAACGTATAATAAATAAAAAGCTAAACTTCCTATGGTTCCAGACACACAGTAACATGGCTCTGATTTGCATTACACTGTTTATAATTTGCACTGATAAACAAACCGACTGACAGATATTCGGCAAATTCAGTATTTTTGAGTTAGTTCTAATGTTTGGTGTGATAACAGCAAATTATTTGGCAGGCATAGATACGAAACATCATCATTAAGTCTTCTTACAAATATTTTACTACATTAGTGAATTTTACAGGAAGTCGGGCAGTGTTTCAGGAAGGTGGCTTCACAAACAAATTCGATCTAGATATTTTGAAGTTTTACCTGTGTCAATGATGATTTCTTAGACATGGTTAAGTGAAATCATTACCGTTTCCTTACTTAAATTTATCACTGCTCCATAGTACAAACTGTGAATAAGACTTTATTTAACACTAAGGAAGCTCAAAAGATTTTACTTCTGTGCGAAGTGTTTAAGAAAGGTGAACGGTGTTAGGCCTTTTGGTGTTTTTCCTGTTTGAATGGCGATTAAGCGAGCATTTTAACTAATCTACTAATTCCCAAAGGAAGACATCATCTGATTACAGAATGCCGCAAAATTTTCAAAATTATTTTAGATACTAATGTAAGAACATTATGACAAATTTCGCCATCGTGTTCACCATTAGCTGGATGACGACTACAACATCAGCTAAACCAGAAAGAAATATTGCACAACAGAACGACAATTAATTTTCCAAAAACGTTCACTGTAGTAAACGTTGTCCTGTACCATAGTTTGAAGACAATTCAAGAATGTGCGCCATTGCACCACTTATTCTTGTTTTAGGTAAGTCGACAGTGAACGTTTCCTTTTCAACAACCGAAATGAAAATTTTCTGTTTACCCTAAACTATAAATATTTAATACCGAAAATTAGCAGCGTTTAGTAATCCCCATCGTTATTCGGTTTCCGCAAGAATTTGTTGCGGTCGGGTGCTAATTACCATAATAATTACATCCGTTAAAACTTGAGCATAAACTTAAAAGACAAGTCATATTTTGAGTATCACCGCTTTTTTCCGATGAATTTCGGAGTCTTTGCTCTGATTATGACCTACATTGAAATAAAAATGATATCAGATATCCCAAGCAAACACACACTCTTGGGAAAACCAACTCATATGCTGACTGTTGAATAACATCGTAAAATAATTTTTTCCGAATTCATTTCATGTTGTTTTGAAAACACGGCAACATCATCGCTCTAATTCTGAGAACTACTTTTATTTAAGGACAAAAAAAAAGCTGTGGCTCAAAACCATATTTATTGTCAGCCACTTGTAATCTAACCTGAACTTGGAGCAATTATGAAAATGAAACTTTCGGGAAATAAGCACAATTTTAATCAAACTCAGTGGAACTGAAAATAACATATCATGTTTCAATTTGTTTGACTGATCTACACACACAATGAGGAAGTCCTTTAAAATGTTTTCCACACGGTAGTACCCGTTTTTAGCTCGGTCAAATGCACTATTTTAACGAGGATCTGAAAATAACGAAAATCAAGTCCATCTCCAATTCGTTAGCACCCTGGTTGAATGCCTCGCAGATGAAAAGAGTTGCGTGGTTACTAAGAACTACAAGCAGCTTTCAGTCGCTTTCTTTAACTGAGAGCAGTATCAGCCGAGGGCTAGTATCCGACAGATACTCCATATGTCAGTACATTTAAATAATCCCCAACGAAATAGCAAATCAAATGTTCAATTACGTACGGATGGTGAATAAAAATTTTTAATAAGTACCTCGCCGACTTCGCCATTAACCACACCGTTACTTTGACTACAACCTTATTATTCAGAAATTTTCTTATCCGATTACTGTGGTAGCGAATACGCATTGATCACCGCAATAGATTTTGCTCACGGCCTTTCATGCAAGGCGATTATACCAAACAGCCATATTCACCACTGCACATAGGTTTTGGTAAAATATTTTGTTGTAATTAATGGAGTTAACCATAATTAAAAAGCTTTCAGGATGGCCTCAGAGAGCCTAAACCCTCTAACACCAAATGCCACCAGCATTGTTTCAAGTACGCCATCACGGCGTTTCTGTATTGAAGCTTACAAAGTATGAACTTCATGTTTCCTCAACGTTTCTAATTGTTTAAGGCAAATTATAAATTATGAACTTGACCCGATGAATTAAAAATATACATAGAAGTGAAGGTTAGCATTGATGAACATCGATTTTTCTCGAGAGCATCAATTCTGAGTTAATGTTACCTGATACAGTCCTCGCTGTGAAAGCTTTTTCAGAAGAGGATATTTATTGAATGAGTGCTGCTAGCATCTTTCTTAAAAAATACGTCTTTCCTTCTACATTGTGTAACATTAACCGCGACAGGTAAAACACAAAGAAATTTGAAAAATTGAGAAAAGAACTCCTTTGATACGGTGAACAATTAAGCTCGACTGACCTTACTTCCAAGACGAGTCATCATAAGATAACTCCCATTTTTTGGTTTTCTTAGGAGGATCGTGAAATTTTGCCCAAGTTGACATTCCACACGGTGTCGATTTTTTCTCAAGAAAATCGAACAAAGGTTACATTACACGAAAATCAGAACACTCGAGTCCAAAAGGAGGGTAGAATAATGAAAAAAAAGTTACATGCAATTAATAAATCTGCGCATGGTGATGCCTTCGAAGTGAATGCACTCTAATTTTGTTTGATAGTCTCTTTCACGCCTCAAATTCTCTGTTAACAAATCTCTCATAAGCCTAAGCATGACGTTCATGGTAAAGTCCCTTAACGGGAAAACTGATCTCTAATTTTATATAATAGTTCCTTTTCCAATGATCCCTTATCGACCTTGCATAAAAGTGGCGGAGACCTAAAGGCTAAATTGTATTTTTTTTCTTAACGACTCTGTTTTTCAGAGCTGTAGATGTTGATATCACAGATGGGACTCTACCCCCTTTGACTGAACCTCCCAATGCAACAGCTATTCTGGACAAAATGTTTTTCAACTACGACAAAAGACTCAGGCCCATGTATGGAGGTAAGATTGATTCTCAGGTGATCCAGAAATAACTTCTCTCTCTTGATCAAAGCAGAAGATCACTCTACTCCAAGATGCAGCGAGAAAAAAAAATACAAGAAATACTCTTCACGACCAAATGCATGCATTTGTTCTGATTATAAAGTTCCGACTGAAAGAGGTTCGCTTCTTATACGCGCACAGCTAATATTTGTGCCATTCAAAGCTTTCCTTTCCGAAGGTGAAAATATACATATCGTCGAAAAGTGAGAAAGTATTGACAGTTACAGATAACTACTTTTACAGATTTATGTTAAAGATGCGAGCTCAGAGAGACGAGAGAACCTTGTAATGCCTGTTGTTATCATCACTTCTCCCTCAAAATCAGAAATCGATTTTGGGTGGCAATATTCCATACATTCGTGAGGTCAACAAAAAAATAAAATGTTGGCAATGATCGATGTGAAACGCTTTGAAAATCGAATGAATAGAGGGGGTAAGTTTCTAAAGAAACTGTGGTGTTGCGTAGGTAGGCAAATATGTCTAGATAATTTGGTTTTATCAACTGATTCATTCGCTCTGACGACAGTCTAACGCTCGAAATGTCAGCTTTGAAACTCTTTGCGGTGGCCGATTTGCATCATCAACTCAGTTGATAGAACCAAATGTTTACTTTAAAGATCGGCTTGTTAAGTCTATGGCTTTTCTCCTCCCTCTGTTTAAAACTTCTAAAGATGACACCATTTTCACTGCTGTTTTTAGGAGATCCTGTTTACATCTACGTATCGCTGGGTTTCCTCTCCATAAGCCATGTGACGGAGGAAAATATGGTAACTAGATTGCTTTAGTTACGTAGCTACCACGGACATCTATTCAATGATTTCAGGGTATTGTGAAGACTACATTACCTGAGCCCCGAGTAAACTACAATTAATTACGAGTTATCCTTCGCGTTATTCTTTAGTCACAGTAACCGTTAGAAGGAGATTGGTTAAAAGCAGACTGAAGCAAATCAACTTTCATTTAGTCAGTGAGGAGGCTCAAGTGAGGCCGCAAACACCTAGAGGATCTCACATCTTTTTAAACGATGCAATCACTCGTGAAAGTATACAGCAATGCTCGTTGACGAATTCTTTTTTTGACAACAGGAATTTAAGGGGGACATCTACATGCGCCAGTTCTGGAAGGATCCACGATTGGCCTACGGTGACAAGAACTGGACATTAATCCTTCAAGGAGATATTCTCAACAAGATGTGGTTTCCAGATACGTATATCGAGAACGCTAAAAAAACAACCATCCACGATGACACAAGAACAGTCATTGTGTTCGGAGACGGAAACGTGTTTTATTCCGTAAGGTACAACGTGAGTTGGAAATTGTTGAAAAGAAGTGGCTTCGCGGATAATAACCTTACTTTAAATTAGGATGAAAACGGATGAATAAGATGACCAATGTATATCTGTGTTTTTGTTTCAGGGTCACAGTGAATGCTATGGGATTAATGGATTTCAAAAACTACCCAATGGATGTCCAGCTATTTTTCTTCAGAGTACTAAGTTGTAAGCAGAAACAGATATCTTTCCATCTTTTATTGCGCTTATTGCTCGCCAGTGCATCAGAAAACGTCAGAAATAAATAAATGTTTGATGATACTTTCTGATGATGACCATCAGAAATGTTGACGTAATCGTATCGATGGTGATTAACATTAATGATGTTAATAGGACCGAGTGGAGTCCAGTTCGGCCTGTAATGACTCAAGTGATTACAAAATCAAACAACCGCGAAACAGGAGTCCGATTTGTCAATCACGAGTATGATTACAGTACGAATTGGACGACACTAAGTCCTGTTACCCATTAATCATAACCATTAGAATTTCCAGAAAAAAGTGCAGTTCTTTGAAAAAATATATCCGGTAGAGGCATTATCTTAAGTAAAACATTTCAATCTCCATTTTGAAAACCCAAAGTAAGCTTAATAACAGCAAAATGTGCCCATATTGGCAGTGAAACGTTCAATTAACAAATTAGTTTTGTATCTGATTGGCAAATCAACACAGCATCAAATCCAAACAAATCAGGTGAAACTAAACAAAATTTTTGAAAGGAGATGTTATTCAGTGAATTACAGAGGCGAGCTTGGAGAAAAAGAACTCAGTTCTCCCGATAGGGTTCAAACCTACGACCTTCCGATTAGCACGTCAGATGCTGTACCACTGAGCTATAGGAGAATCAAGACAAGCTGGGCCGTTCAACGATGTCCATGATGACAAACTTCCTGTATGCTCCTAAGATAGGAATGTGGATATGTCAAGCTTATGTGCAATTCACCACCACGCATTTACATCATCAACAAAATTCTTGTTTTGTATTTGCAGTTCTGAAAACCTTTATACAAATAAGATGCATCGATCGTATTCATTAATTGATGAAACCTTTTAAATTTATTTTTAGACGGTTTTGACATCACTCAGATACGATATAAATGGATTGGTGTGTCGCTTTACAGTACAGACATGGCAGAATTCTTCGTCATGAATCAAACACTTGCTAGTGACAAGGTTAAATATATGATAGGCAAGTATTATTTTCGTCAATAGAACAGTTGATAATATCATATTTTGACGGCTACATCGCTCTCGAAATGGGTATAGTCTGGGTCTAGCTTGATGGTTTCAGCTCAAATCGCTCATGTTGTGTTCTTGGTTAATACACTTCTTCTACCAGCACCACTCTCCATCCGGACTGATGGTGTTAAAGTTAGGTTTCCACCAGCGGATTATCTGGGAAACCATGGATTGGATAGTTAGCTTAAGGGGGAACCTCTCTCCATTTAAGCTGGAAACTCCCAAAGACTGAAATGTATATTCCAATATTTTTTCCTACCATCCTTATTTCATCAAAACTTTGAACTTGATTCGATTTTGGAAGCTCAATTTGATAACTTAGAGGTTAATTGCACACATCATGCTTCTAATTAGACTGTACGAAATGCAAGTTTCCCCATCATGCTTGCGGATGATATTATTCGGATCGAGGGTTCATTTTCTCATGAAAGAAATCTCAACTGTTCTAATTGATGGATAAATTATTCCAATAATCATTTCGTCTCCGAACTTTTGTCAAAATGATCAGACTCGTAATTAACGAATCGAACTTCCATTTCGGGGCTGTCTCAGTTTGATAATCACTCTCATTATCATAGTCCCCTTCACTGCCACTATACGAAATGTTACGCAACTCTCCCCTAGAGAGTTTTCTTGAGGGAACGTTTCGTAATATTTCAAAGAGAGGCTGAGAAGGAGAGTGGTGAGACCAAAGCCTTCCATCGTTCCTATTACCGATTTTAATTCTGAACAATTTTGCAGGTTGGTTCGACTATCTTGACGTCAACTTCCACGTTCGAAGAAGGATCGGTCATTACGTCATACGCATATTCTTTCCCTGCATCCTTTGCACAGTTGTATCGTGGCTTCCATTCTGGATGGATAGGGGCGAGATCGGTGATCGTGGTGCTCTAGGCATTACAACGCTGCTGACAGAAGTCTTCCTCTTGCAATACACCAATGACTCCATGCCACGAGTCAGCTACGTAAAAGCCGCTGATCTGTTTTTGATTGTCTCTTTTGCTTTTACCTTTATGGCTTTACTGGAAAGCGTCATCGTATACAACTACAAAAAGAGATTTTTCCTAGCGGAAAGCGCTCAATCAAAATCGCTGACTGGTGGAAGAACGTTTTTTCGTAAACGTGCTTTCAAAGTGGACGAGGTTAGTTTAAGTGTTTTTGTAATTTGAAATAAGTCGTAGGATTTACTGCCGACCTGTTTTCATGACACTCCTTGACTCATCATGACCATATGCCAACATGATTTACCATCTATAACTATTTATTTTATTCCAAAAGTATTTGTTTTATATATATGATATTTTTGTTCGCCGCTGTTATTCCAGTGCGATAGACTGCTATTTGAAATTCATTCATTTTCAGGTTCGTAAGGCAGACACTGTCCACATAAATGGCTCATATATTAACCCGGCAGTACATGCTGAGGTGAGAAAAACATGATTTGTGATATTTGTGCCAAGGTGTCCATCTGTATGTCTGTCATTTACAGGTATTATGTAGACCAGTTTTCATTCACATAATGGTCGAACTGTTTCTCTGGTCGTCTGTTAATCCGTCTGACATATATAATGCATCTGTGCACGTCCTTACACTCTAACGAGGGGGCTAACTCTCGGAATCCCATATTTAGAAACTCTTTAGTTGGCCGGTTCACATTATCAACTTAATTCACAAAGCCAAACTATCTTGTCTGTCCATCTGTTCGTTATTGTATTCTGTTTCCGCGCTTAATGTACAGGGATGTCTGATTATCTTTCGACCATTCGTCTCTTAACGACGATGGTACAATGAAATGCCGTTACACAGTTGTGCAATGAAGTATAGAAAGTCACTCTATAGTCGTTACTTATTTTCAATTTATAGCAAGAAGACCTAGCAAGTCCATTACCCGAACTTCAAGAAACTAAAGCCCCTTGGAAAGAACCAGAGGATGAAAAGCAGAATTGTCCCAAATGTTCCGTGCTGTCAAAATCGAAAATCTACAGCTACTACACCTGCGTCAAGAGTTATTTTACAAAGAACGATCTTAGTTTTTTCATCGAGATGTCCTCCCGTATTTTGTTTCCCCTCATGTATGTCGGATTTATCGCCTTTTTCTTTGGAAAATATGGAATATAAAGTTGAGAACATAGAACCTCTGCACAAAAGTTGTAGGAGGCATATTTAATTTACATTTTTTTTTAAATAACTTTTTGACAGTTAAGTGCGGAATAAAAATTTAAGTAGTGCAAGAAACGCCAAAGGAACAAAAGAACCAAATATTGAGAATTGAATAATTTAATTTTCTGATTTGCTTGATTTTAAAGGCATGCAAACCTAGTGACTGGAAAGCAATTTGGAGTGACTAATTCATGTTAAAGATCATCTGATTACTAGCGCACACATCCAAATATTCTTCACAGCTAGTAGGTGTAAAACCAAGAGACACTCGATATAATAGCAATAATGAGAGTGATATTGTCTGGTTATAGACGTATGAAAAATTTCAGCAGAGCTGATTTTTTTCGTCTTTGGAGTAATAAGTAACAAAATACGTGTTGATACTTAAAAAGCTCAAACTAAAATAATTTACAAGGAGTAGCGCATTGTGAACGCTCTTTTGTCTAGGTAATGACTCGAGGTCCGTACCTCAAAAGTAAGTTTTCTTCTCTCTCTTCGTAAGCAGCTTCATAAAAATATTTACAAGCTAGGAATTGTAACCATTTAGCATAAGCTAACTACTTATCTTTGGGCGTGCACCAGTCTACAAATTACGGTCTAAACCGTAAATTGTCTTATTGAACTTTGCAGGTTTCAGTTTTTGATTATGAAGGCTGCTTTGCTCTGTTAGATATCTCTGGGCTGTAAATATATCCGAATGTATTCCTTATCAAATCCTATCTTCCTTCGTTAAGAACTTTTACAAAAGAAACCCTGGTTCAAATAGTAACATTCCAATCCAATAACGTCCCTTTTAACATGATGCTATGAACTCTAAACCTGTTCATTACCTGGAGTCAGAGTGACTACTCAGGGAAATATCCCTTGAAAACATCATTGTTTGCACAGTTTTAAGGTGAAAAGGTGATGAGGAGAGAG